CCCCCAGGGGATCTCAGCATTGCCCTGCTAAGGTAACATCCCTCTCTTTCCCCTCTGGTACCAGGTAGGGGGGTGGGGGGAGGCGGGGGCAGTAAGCACATGAGCAAAAGAAGTCAAAATGGTGCAGGGGTATATGCTTGACCACAGAGGCCTGTCAGTCTAACCCAGGGGTGGGCAAACTTTTTGACTCGAGGGCCACAATGGGTTCTTAAACTGGACCGGAGGGCCGGAACAAAAGCATGGATGGAGTGTTTGTGTGAACTAATATAAATTCAAAGTAAACATCATTACATAAAAGGGTACGGTCTTTTTTTTTTTTAGTTTTATTCATTTCAAAAGGGCCGGATCCGGCCCGCGGGCCGTAGTTTGCCCACGGCTGGACCTGTGAGAGGGATCACTGGTCAGGGGGTGGACCCATCAGAAGCCCAGAAAGCTTGGTAAGTTGATTGGTTATTTTGAAAAAGCTCCTGATCATAGTAAGTCCAGGGAACAAAAAGGAGCTCTCTTGCTTGGTGACCTATGCTAGCTCCATTCGTTTGCATTCCCTCTCTCTCTCTCTCTCTCTCTCTCTCTCTCTCTCTCTCTCTCGCTCTCTCTCTCTCTCTCTCTCTCTCTCTCCCCTCTGCCCCTCCCCCCACCACTCCTCCCCCCCACACACAGACAAACATGACCACGCAGGTCTAACAGCCAGGCCATGGCAGACTGTGTGGGCTCCAAAGGACTAAGCTTTCATATGAAACAGAAACTGTCGACACTGGCCTTGGTTTTGGACTTTCCCATGGCGGATGGAGGGAGATGGGACACTGGGAACCCCGGCGCAGCTTTCTGGAAGAGATTTTGCCACACCACAATCTCCCGTGCATGGGTCCCTGGAATGCTTTCCTCATGATCCCGTGGAAGAACCCGATTTCCACCAGCAACGACCTGATTTAGCGCAACAAAAAGTGAGATGAGATCCCCTGGCATCGAGTGCTACTGAGAACCTGACTGTATAAATAAAAATAGATCTGGCCCGTGCCTTTCTTTGCAAACAGAGAACTGCAATTAAAGCATTAGGAAAGTACTGTTTTCCTTAACGCGTTCACAGCAATTCTACTTCTATCCAAAACCATGCTTTCTATCAAGAGCTAAAATTTCACTTTTGCTGCCATTCACTTAAGTTAAAAAAAAATCCAGTTAAAGTTCATTTTAAATATATTTTTATTGATTTCAGAGAGGAAGGGAGAGGGAGAGAGAGAAACATCAATGACGAGAGAGAATCATTGATAGGCTACCCCGTGGACGCCCCCACTGGGGATCGAGCCCAGAACCCAGGCATGTGCCCTGACTGGAATTCGAACCTGGGACCTTCAGTCCGCAGGCTGACGCTCTATCCACTGAGGCAAACCAGCTAGGGCTAAAATTCATTTTAATAAACATTTACATTCAATAGGTTCCCATATATTTAAGTAGGGCAGGAAGCAAGAGCAAATAAAATATTGGTTAGGAAGACATAAATGCAAGAATTTAGATTTTGAATTAGAAAACTAATAATGAAATGAAGTATATAGGCCCAGAGTAGAATCTTTTTACTAGCATTATTTAGTAATTAGTTAAAAAAAAGAAACTATAAGTGATAGAAGCAAAATAAGAAATCCTAAAGTACGTTAAGGGATTCAATTTTATAATAAAAAAAGAAATTCATGGAGATTATGGTCTAGGTGTAGATTTTAAAATCTCAAATTAAATATTCTCAAAGAAAGAGAAATAGATAACAAAAGAAAGGTAGGAAAATAAAAGTCAACTTGAGAAGAAACTGAGTTTTAGAGAAAGAACTAAGGAAAATAATAATCTTTCCAAATTCTTAATCTATTATAGTGATACCATTGTAATTAGCTAATTAGTAATAATAAATCTAGTCAAGAAGGTAGAAGATACCAAAAACTATAAAACATTGCTGGAAAAAAGTAAAGACATTAATGGAAAGACATCCCATGTTCACAATAGAAGTTAAAATGCCAAGACTACCCAAAGAAATCTACAGATTCAAACACAATACCTATCAAAAATCCCAGTAGCCTTTTTTCCCCAGAAATGGAAAAGCATATTCTCATATTCATATGGAATTGCAAGAACCCTGACTAACCCGAATAATTTTGAAAAAGAAGGACACAGTTGGAGGAATCACACTTCCCAACTCTGAAACTTACTACAAAGCTACCGTAATTAAAACAGTGTGGTCCCGGTATAAGGAGAGACCTGTAGATCAATGGAATAGAAAGCCAAGAAATAAACCTTTGTATATAAGGTTAATTAATTATTGACAAGAGTGACAAGACCACTCAGTGGGAGAAAGGACAGTCTTTTCAACAAATGGTAGTGGGAGAATTGGATATCCAACTTCAAAAGAATGAAGTTAGACCCTCGTCTCACACCATATACCAAAATTGACTCATAAAGAATCGAAGACCTAAACTTAAGAGCTAAAACTATAAAACTCTTAGAAGACAACATTGGGGAAAATGTCCATGACATTGGATTTGGCAACATTTCATGAATATGACACCAAAAGGATAGACAACAAAAGAAATAAAAATATAAACTGAACTTTATCAAAAGAAAAAACTTTTGTGTATCAGAGAACACCCTCAGGAAAATGAAATAACAATCTAAAGAATGACATAAAACATCTTCAAATCATATACCTGACAAGTGATTATTATCTAGAATATTTAAAGAATTCCTACAATTCAACAACAAATAACCCAGTTCAAAAATGGGCAAAGGACTCGAATAGACATCTATCCAAAGAAGCCTTACAAACGGTACTCAATATCAGTAGTCATTAGGGAAATGCAAATCAAAACCACAATGAGATACCTCTTCACACCTATTAACATGGCCATAATAAAAAAAAAATAAAAATAAAAATAAAAAAAAAGGAAAGTAACACATGTTACTGAGGACATAGAGAAACTGGAATATTTGCATATTGCTGGTAGGAATGTAAGATGGTACAGCCAGTATGGAAAATGGTTTGGTGGTTTCTCAAAAGTTAAACACAGAACTAACAGGTGACCAGCAATTCCATTTACAGGTATTTTTCTTAAAGAATGGAAAGCAGGGACTGGACCAGATATCTGCACACCAATGCTCATAGCAGCATTATTCACAATAGCCAAGAGGGGGAAGCAGCCTCGGTGTCCATCAACAGGTAAATGGATAAACAAAATGGGGCATATACAATAGAATACAATTCAGCCATAAAAAAGGATAAAATTTTGACATATGTTACAACACGATGGACCTTAAAAACGTTATGCCTGATAATCCGGACACAAGGTCAAATATGATTCCACTTATATGAGGTAACTAGAATAGGCAAATTCATAGAAGGAAAGCAGACTAGAGGCTACTATGGGCTGGAGGAAGAAGAAAAGGGGAATTATTGCTTAGCAGGTACAGAGTTTATGCTGAGGATGAAGACATAGTTTTAAGTAGAGATAAGGTATGGGTACACACAGGATGGTGAATAAAAGGTGGGGCAAAAGTAGGTTTACAGTTTGAGTATGTGAAACACAATATTTTATTTTTCTTGTATTATTATTTATTGATTGTATTATTTTCCATATGAACAACTATAAACCTACTTTTGCCCCACTCTGTATATTTAATGGTTACAAGGACAAGTATATTTATTTAAATTTAAGCACATTTTTATAAAGTATACTTTAAAAACAAAGTCTCAAAAATACCAAGTGAGAACACAGCTGCACCAGCGGGGGATGGGGAAGAGCTGAGCAGGCAGGAGCACCTGGGGATGAAGGTTGGATGTTTCAGTTAATAGCCACGGAAAATGAGGATTCCAAAAGAGCAAGCGTGAACATGGGCTGCATCAGTAGAAATACAGTCCTCAAAACAAGGGAGGTGACCATCGTACTGGCCAGACCAGTGGCGGAGACCTGAGCTCTGTTTGGGGCCTCACCCCGGGGAGGACAGTGGTAGCCTGGGTTGTATTTGAGGAAGACTGACTAGCATGGTGAAGGATACAGAAACCCAGGACACCTAAGGATCAGCAGAGAGAATCAAGAATGCCTTTTCCCATTTAGCAGGACCTCGTAGCTACTCAAAGAACCAATCCTGACAAAAAGGGGAAGAAAAAAAAAAAGAACTTGAGGAAAGCAGGTTTTTTGCTCAGCTTAAGGAAGAACTTCCATTTCTCCTTTTTCCTTTCTTTTGTTTTTTCAAACTCCCCCTGCCCCCCAGCATCTAACATGCCTCCTCACAGCAGCTACAGACATTTTTAGTTAGAATATAATACACTTACATGGTTCAAAACCTAACCAACCAAGTAAATAAATAAGCAAACAACCAACCAAACTAACAACAACAACAAACAAGAAGAGAGAAAAAAATACCAAGTGATTTGCTCTAAGCCATGCCCTAGTAAAAGGCTAAGCCAACATTCAATCTTATGTTTTCAATCTCCATGACAACAGAAGACAAGTAGTGCGTTAGTTGCTCAGCATTAAAACAACATCTAATTGTTTTGGTTCCCTAGGCTCTCCCCAGAACTCATCTGCTAAGATCAGTCAAAAAGAAGAGTAATCTCCTTTGTCTTCAATTTGTTATGAAACTTCTGTTACCATCAGATACACTCTAGCTTCTGCCTTTAGCCCAGGAAGGTGAGGCCAGAAAGCCTGGTGCACTGACCGTACACTCACCGTGGGTGAGAAAGCAGCTTTGGGGCTGCATCACCAGTTCCTATCCTGGCTCCCCTATTAACTGCGACCTTAGGCGGGTAATTTAATCTCAGTGATCCAGTTTCCTAGCCTGTGAGATATGAATAAAGTACTTACCTCATAAAGTTGTCAACTTAAACAGGCAAAGCACTTAGAACAGATCTTGGCACCTGGTAAAAAGGTTTCTATCTCTTTCTCCTCCTTGCTTTTTCCTTCTCTTTCTTTTCCTTTTCCCACAACATCAACATTATTTATTATCACTGAGACTCTGCAAGTTACCTGTGAAACCGTCATCTGCATGTTGCTTTGCCCACTGCAAAGCCAGACATCTCCGAATAAGACATCATGAACTCCCACAGTTAAGTTCATTTTTTCAAAAGTCTGCTGTGCCGTCACTTCATAAGGTCCACCGGGCTTCATAGGGTCCAGTACCACCATCCATTTATTAGAGTGTGCTGAAATAATAACAAAAGGCTCCGAGGAATTAATCAATCAATCAATTAATTAAAATTAAAGCCCACTCCTGTCACGCAGCATACTCATTTGTGGCCATTCCCAGCTTCAGTGATCAACTGAATTCGAAGCTATGAAAATTGGCCACATTTCAGACAAGCAAATAGAAATAACAGCAGCGGCATGTCTATCCTTAATCTGTGCCAATCCCTTGTTACTTTTTTTTTTTTAATATATTTTATTTATTTTTTACAGAGAGGGGTAGAGAGCCAAAAACATCGATGAGAGAGAAACATCGATCAGCTGCCTCCTGCACACTCCCTACTGGGTATGTGCCCACAACCAAGGTACATGCCCTTGACCGGAATCGAACCCGGGACCCTTGAGTCCGCAGACCGACGCTGTATCCACTGAGCCAAACTGGTTAGGGCCCCTTCTTACTTTTAACTGAAGCATTTACAAGGGAAATAAATTAGCCAGTTGTAATCCTAAATGAGGACAAGTAAAAATACAAAAGAAATTAAAATTCAAGGGAGTTTCATAAAAACAACATAGAAATTCTTACTGGACTATCCAGCTGTCAATATTAACATAATCATAATCTAACGCATTTGCACAGTGCCCCAATTAGAGAAAATCATTTGTAACCTGAAAGTTCCCCTTGCCTGATGGTATCATCTTTGTCCTCAATACCCCCACCTCCTCCCCACATTGCTACCAAGGATTAATACTAGCAGCAGTTCTGGGTTCTCCTGTCAACATTTAAACAGGTGAGTGGAGAAGGTGTCACATAAAGAAGTACTGAAAGGCATATACATCAGTCTCTCTGGCCCAGCCAGGGTGGCTCAATGGTTGAGCATCAACTCATGAACCAAGAGGTCACTGGTTTGATTCCTGGTCACAGCACATGCCTGGGTTGTGAGCTCGATCCCCAGTGGGGGTCGTGCAGGAGTCAGCCGATCCATGTTTCTCTCTCATCGATGCTTCTATCTCCCTCTCCTTCTCCCTTCCCCTCTTTCTAAATTCAATAAAAACATATATTTTTAAAAAATTAGTCTCTCTGTGAAGAAGACATTTAGACTTGCCCAATTAATTATTTTCAGAATTATTTCCCAGACTTAAGGTTTTCAGGCTCAATTAAAGCGATGAAAAGTTACCCAAGACCCTATTTCAGAGATTCCTAGCATATTCCTTAGGAACCACCTCCCTACCACCTTCCTACCTCTCACCCACTCACGCCACCACCTCTGCAAACATCATACTCAGAAACTTAAGAAAAATATCTTCCAAGTGGCAAAATTATGCCTAGGAGAACCAAACAACATGAACAAAGTTGAAAAAATGAGAGTGAGAAAATAGAGAAGTAACCTTTTAAAAATAAATCTTCTTGGCATAATGCAGAAGAATAGGAACTGATTTATAATTTAATGTAATTTCAAAGGAAGAGAATGGTAAGAACTGGAAATGAAGCATCCCGAAGTTATTGTACCAGCCTGTAAAAAATAATAACTATAAAAATACTACCCAAGTGACTACTAGGAGCCAGACAGGGTGCTGAGTTCTTTCTAATCAGCAAGAGCTAAGCAGAAGCAGAAGTCCAGATGCAGGCCAGGAGATCAGTAAAAGCTCAAACCATAAAGGACCGCTCATTCCTGGGGGGATGTCCAAGACCCCCAAGGCATCAGAGACAGGGTGCATGATTGCTCCTCCGGTCAGCATAACTGACTCATTTGCCCCGCCCAGGCCTAAGAAGTCAGTTAAGCCCAGGACCAAATGCCTGCTACTGTTTTTATACCTCTGAGAGCCAGACATCATCCTGTTATACGTATAACGCACCAGAAGCAGGAAAAGCACGGCTCTGGAGGCAGTGGGCAGCGGGTACAGACTGTGTCACACAGGTGCCTGCGCTCCGTATGGCTCGCACTTCCGAGCAGGCAGACGTGCCAATCTGTCCCAACTGCCGTCTTGCCAAGGTCTTTCCAGGCTCCCTGCACTGACATCTCTCACTGGAGCTCTGTCCTGCTGCCACCAGCTTTGCTCATTTAGAATGATAACGTCAACCCCCAGGAAACCGAGGACAGCTATCTTTTAGCTTTTTACGACTACACAATCCATTCCTCGTCACTGCTGTTAACTTGATCTTCACTCCACCCCCATTCAGGCAGTATGGCCGGTGAGGAGGACAGCCGTCACCAGAGTTTCTGGAAGTTTTGCTGCCCAGCAATAAGAGGAATAAGGGAAGGGGGGACATTTGGGCAAAACATCATGCCAATACCATTCCACTGCAGAGGGGGGAAGAGCTCCCCCCGCAGGAGGGAAGAGAACTACAACTAAGGCCCAAGCCTTATTCCTAAGCCCTGGTCTGAGGAGGCCTCGGAGAACTTCCTCTGTTCTAGTCCTCAAGTTCTTTTAGTTTCTACCTTTTGCCCTCTCCCCTCTACAGAAAAATAAACTCCGATACAGTTACGAGTGTTAAGGAAGTTAACTGCCAGGCACGGCAGGGGAAATCGGATCTACTACAGGGAGGTTACTAATGGTCCAAGTAACTCAGAAACCATCCATTTAAAACAACGAGGACTGCCCAGCTGGCTCAGTGGTTGAGCAGTGACCTATGAACCAGGAGGTCACGGTTCAATTCTCGGTCAGGGCACCTGCGCGGGCTGCGGGCTCCATCCCTAGTGGGGGGTGTGCAGGAAGGAGGCAGCCGATCAATGATTCTTTCATCATTGATGTTTCTACCTCTCTCCCCCTCTCCCTTCCTCTCTGAAATAAATAAAAATGTATTTAAAAAATAAATAAAACAATGAGGATTTCCTCCCATGTAAGTATATACACAGGAGAGCAGTCACTGTGTCGACCAGCGGTTCTCAACCTGTGGGTCGCGACCCCTTTGGCAGTCGAACGATCCTTTCACAGGGGTCGCCTAAGACCATCCTGCATATCAGATATTTACATGACGATTCATAACAGTAGCAACATGACAGTGATGAAGTAGCAACGAAAATAATTTTATGGTTGGTCACAACATGAGGAACTGTATTTAAAGGGCCAGAAGGTTGAGAACCACTAGTGTACACTGTTTCTTAGATCAAAGGCAAGGGTGGGCTTATAAAGGCAGAAGCCACCTTGTTTCACAGGAGAAGTGATCATCCTTGGCCTGCGAGGCGAGGGCTAGTTCAAGTGGAGCTCATCACAGGATGATGAAGTCCGGCTGTAGTTTTTAGAATCTGTGTGCATCCACCAGGTCCAATCGGTTGAGTCCAAATAATAAAACTGAGTCACGGCCACAAAGAGTTAAAGTTCACTGTCCAGCTGGCTCCCTGCTAATCCTGAGGGGCTTGCTGAGCAACAGTTGCTCTGGCTCCTTCTTCTGGGCCCTAATCACTTGCTATCCTGCCACCTCTTTTCCCAATCCAGATGCAGGTTTCTGTAGATTTTCGTCACATCCGAACCTCTGCTTCCTCAGCTCTTTCTTCTCCCATCTAGGAAGTTTCATCTCCTTCCTTCATAACACAGCTACTTAGAGTGTGCCAGGCACTCCATCCTGTAAATGACAACCTCTCCCCGCCCCCTCCCACTCCCCCACCCCGCCCTCCCGTGACACCACAAGAAAGCCTTGCAAACTGACGGGGGCTTTGTGCTTTCATGTCTGACAGCATATCTGGTGTGGCCTATTTACTGTTCTATTTTCTCTCCACATTCCAGCACAAGACACAGGTAAAGAACACTCTATCTCCATTTCCTCTACACCTCCCTGACCAGCCCCCGTCTAAAAATGGGAAGAATAAACAATCAAAGGGGAAAAAACGAAAACAGTTTGTCTGGAGACATGATTAGTCATGAAGTGCTTTCTTTTTCTTCCTCTTGCTATTCACATCAGATGTTAATTACTTTTCAGGTTGTTGTGCCAAATCTCAGAAGCCAAGAACAGAAAAAGGAAAATTATCCACAACCTTTCCCTTCCCACAAGGAAACACCTAGAGCTGGAAGAAGCCACCCTCTCACGTCCCACACAGAATCCTGGCACTTCTCCAGCTGCAAATCACTTTCGCGATTTGTGGGAGTGACTTGGAGGTAAAGGAAGCTTTACAGGCCCCTTTCCTACCTGCATTTATTCTGTATAAAGTCCTCCACCACCACCAAATATAAATGTTTTTAAAAAAACAAAAAATACTTAAGTACTTGTTTATCAATAAAACTGTTTATGCAAGTTACTTAAACCGTAGCATGCTATGGCAGACACGCCCTGAGATGACCCCCCAATAAGGCACACCCTTGTATAACCCTCTCCCCCTAAGTGCAGGCAGAATGTGTGATTTGCTTCCAACCAACAGAAAATGGCAAAGGGGATGAGATGTCATTCTCATGATTAGGTTACATTACATGGGAAACATTAAGGGTTTTTATAGATGTGATTAAAGTCCCTAATCAGTTGACTTTAATAAAAAGGGTGATTATCCTGGGTGGACCTGACCTAATAAGGTGAGCCCTTTAAGAGTATCTAGAGACCTGGGTAGTTTTGTTCAGTGGTTAGAGCATTGGCCCATGAGCCAAAGGGTCACAGGTTTGAGTCCCAGTCAAGGGCATGTACCTGGGTTGCTGGTTCAAGCCCTGGCCCTCATTGGGGCCCAGCAGGAGGCAACCAATTAATGTGTCTCTTTCACATCAATGTTTCTCTCTCTCTCTCTTCCTCCCTCCCTCCTTTCCACTCTCTCTAAAGAAAAAAAGTCAATGGGAAAGTCATCCTTGGGTGAGGATTAAAAAACAAAAACAAAAAACGAGTATCTGGAGGTCAGAGGTGAAAGGAACCAAGATGCAGCCATGAATCCTACAGGCACAAGGAAATGAATCTGCCAGCAGCCTGGGGAGCTTGGAAGTGGGTCATTGCCCAGTTGAGCCTCTGGATGAGAACACAGCCCACTGATGCCTGGATTTCCGCTTGTGAGACCCTGAGAAGAGCGCCCAGCTCAATAACAGCCAGGCTTCAGATCTACAGAAAGTGTGAGCTAGCAAAGGTATGTTGTTTTAAGCATCTAAGTTTGTGATAATTTATTATGTAGCATAGAAAACTAGTATGCATGCTAACACTGCAACCAGGAACTTTTTCTTTCCTAAGTTAGAGACAACATATCTGTTTGGAGACACACCCTCATTTTATCATCCACATACGCATTCCCATGTGTGCAAGAGTGAGAGGATATATGCTAATATCCCTAATTTTATTCCTGTGTCTGAATTACCAAGCATCATTTGACGATCTGAATAGGCCCCGTACCTGACTATATTCCCAGCCATCCATCAGGTTTTAATTTTCCCAATGCTGTAGTGCCAGTCTGCCAGACAAAAACCTTTATGTTATTAAATTCCATTTTGCTGTGGGCGCCTAGGGAATACAGGTAATACGTTATATATTAACAGAGATAGACAGTGGCAAATTGAAGTAGTCTGGCTGAAAACCCCAGAGTCCTCATTGATATTTAAATAGACGTCAGCCCTTCAATAAACCCTGTAGAATTTCCTACATAGCGACCTTCTTTATTCCAAATAACATTTTACTCATTTTACCTCATGGGCAGGACAGAGCAAGATGCTGCTGAAACAGGCTTGTGGCTCTACACAAACTAAAACACCCTCGCTCTCTACCAAGCAGATGTGGAAAGCCTAACAAACAGATCTACGCCCACCACCACCATCTTTCTCTCTTCTAGACAGAGGCTCCTCTGTAAGGCTGCTAATTCTCAACTTCTTGACCATCCTCACAGCAACTGCCTTGGGTCAAACCTTCCCTGTCTATTCCCTGAACATCATAATAGCCGACTAACAGGTCCCACCACTTCTGTTCTGCTCGATCTCCAATCAGTCTTCCACAGTGCTGCCAGAGTCCTCTTTCTAATATACAAAGCTGATTGTGTTATTTTGTGCTTAAAATCCATCCATCCAATACTCCTTAACAATAACAAGCTTCCTTATGTATCCAAACTTGTCTCCTGTCAACCAACGCCAGTCACGTACCCCAGTGTTCCAGACAAACCTATCCATGAGCCATTTCTCCAATGGCCCAAGCTCACTAGTGCCTCCGTGCCTTTGCCAGGCGAGTCCCTCTGCCTGGTTTGCCCCACTCATCTTTCAAGATAAACCTTAGCCTCACAGTGGTTCTCAACCTGTGGGTCGCGACCCCTGAAAATACATCCTGCATATCAGATATTTACATTACGATTCATAACAGTAGCAAAATTTACGTTGTGAAGTAGCAACGAAAATAATTTTATGGTTGGGGGTCACCACATGAGGAACTGTATTAAAGGGTCACGGCATGAGGAAGGTTGAGAACCGCTGCTTAGACTAAGTTAATTATCCCTACTAAGCACTCCCCAGCACCTAGTACTTCTCCATTGTGGCACTTACACACTTCACAGTAATTGCTATGATTTTTCTGTCTCTTTGCCTAACCTATTAGCTTCATTAGGGGAGAGACCACATATGTTTCACTCACCACTGTATCACCAGGACCTAACACAGTATCTGCCACATAGTAGTCACTCAGTAAATATTTGAGTGATTGACTAAAATAACAGTAATAACTATAACCACGGCTCACATTTTTTTCAGTATTTACTGTGTGCCAGGCACTGTTCTAAGTATTTTATATGTGCTAATTCATTCAAAACCCACATGGTCTCAAATACTGTTATCTCACTTCACATATAAATTGTGACACAGAGATATTAAATGACATGTCCAAGGTTATATAGCCATGAAGAGATAGAGCCAGGACCTGAACCTAGAGGGTGATTTTCAGAGCCTGGGTTCTAACCACTCCTCCACACTGCCTCTCCTTTATATGTGATTCGGTTCAAATGCCACCTTCTATGTAAACCTTCCCTTACCATCCAATCTGAGGTAGATGTTTCTCTTCTGTATCCCATGACACCTCATATACAACTTCATCGCAGCAGTCATCACACTGCACTATGTAACTCAGTGTCTGTTCCTGTTATTCCATGAGCTCCTTGAGGACAGGCACTTTGACTTAGTCTTAATTTATATCCTCAGTGCCTCGCACACGGTAAATACGCAAATAGCTATCAAATAGCTATTATGGATGGATGGATGGATGGATGGATGGATGAATGGATAGATGGATGGATGGATGAGTAACGGGATATAGAGAGCAAGCTTGCATTTTCAGATAATCCAGCAGGTGGCAGAAGAAGATAAAAGCTCCACAGAGAATGGGGGCTGCCGTACCTTCCACATGAGTCACTTTCTTCATGACGGTTTCGTGCTCTCGCCACAGAGTCACTGTCACTGTGGCTTCAGGTATGCCATAGCCCCAAATCACTGCCCCGGCAGGCTCCTTCTGTAGCACCATGTAATCACCGATGTAGGACGCAAACCGAAAACCGGCACCTAGAGAATTCAGCAAACAGAAGAGCATCACTGGGAAGACTCGTCACTGCTCGAATCTGGTTAAAGAGCAAGGAACATACGGTCTTTATACAAGAGCATTTGAATATACCCGGTACTTTTAATCTTCCAAAACCAGATCTTATTCCTCCCAATGAGGTAAGCAACATAACAAGAACAGTTTCCAACAAGATACATCACAGTACAAGACCAAGAGCCCAGGGCAACCCATGTCCTACACACGTCGTCCCCTTCAGAGCTGCTGACCTGCCTTTGCTCTCAGGCCCGGCCCTCCTGCTGGACTCTCTCCTCCCAAAGCATTAAGATGCCCCTTTTATGCACCCTACAGATGGTGTTTATGAGAAAAAGAAACCTCTTCCTTCCTCTACTTTCCATTCCCACTCCTACTCCCGAGTAGCAGGGAATTAAGAAGCTTGCCTCTCTCCAACAGCCCTCTCTAACCCCCCCCCTTTCCACCCTACCAGGGTGAATGTCCCTCGAATAATTCCCCTTATTATGGCTTTTTAACAACCCACTGAAAATGCTAAATAAGCATTTATGAATATCTGCGACAAATGCGCTTCCTTCGAAGGTAAATTCAGGTAAACGAAGGCGCAAAAAATAAAGTCAGTGAGAGTTAGAAGGTCACAGTGTCCTTACAAAGGTCTTCTGTCACCATTTTACCCATTTCACAAGCTAAATTATGCACAAGGAACAAGAGAAAGAGCACTCGAAACTGTGGATTTTATTCTACAGTCACTAACAAGGCTGAACAAGAACTCACTTTAACAAGATCATGCCTATTTTTAACATCCAGCCTATATAGAAGTATTTCATTAGTAACAAGCATCTACCCAAATGATCTCAGCGAGCTCCTCATCAACACTTAAAAGGGGGGGAAGAAAAACATAAGTTACAGCTTTGGCTCAATAAAACAAAAACAAAAATCCCCCTAGAAGAAAATAATTAACACTATTAAAAAAATTTTTTAAAGATTTTCAACAAAAATGATAGGCAGGAAAGAGAATCAGACCTAACAAGGTTGACATTTCCCTCCCTAGGAAGCTCCCTGTGATGATGGCCCCTTAGGCGATACGCTAAGGAGCAGCACAGCTAATGGGGCCTCCTACACAGGCTCGGTGGCCTATTTGTCTTGCACCTCGAATAAGAACCCGTCCCTCAACACCCTCAGCTCTCTCTTCTGAGTTAGTTCCATCATGAGACCGACATGACCATCAAAGTTCATGCAGAAGGCCCACTGGGCTGGAGATGCGTGGCTGCCTGGAGAAAGTGCTCGAAGAGACTACTGCGCCGAGGGGAGTTGCATAAGCACAGTGCTGGCAGCCTGCAGGAGGGAAGGGGAGCAGCACGTCTGTGGGAGGGCCTTGTCTTGGGTAGGTGCCTCTTATGAAACAAAGCTGAAGGTCTCAAAGCTAATCCCAGAGAGGGTGGAGGTGAAGGGATGGAGTGAAGAAATCTGGCTGCCACTGGCAGAGGAGGCGGTGCACATGGAGGGCCCCAGATATGTGCAGCCTCTATGTGAGGCTGAAGGAAACACCTTTCCAAATCAGTCCGTCTTCTCCAACACACACGGAAGGAGCCTCTAGTGCAGGGCTCTATTCTGAGTTAAAGAATGTTAGAGGTAGCCCAGCTGGCGTGGCTCAGTGGTTGAGCAACGACCTATGGACCAGGAGGTCACAGTTCGATTCCCAGCTAGGGCACATGCCCAGATAGCGATTTCGATCCCCAGTCGGGGGGCGTGCAGATGACAGCCGAACGATGATTCTTTCTCATTATTGATGTTTCTCTCTCTCTCTCCCTCTCCCTTCCTCTCTGAAATCAATAAAAATAAAAAGAATGTTAGAGGTAGAAAGATCGTTCACACCCAGAGTTTATAATCATGGTATTTACTGACCAACAGACTGAGACCCAAGTAGATTAGGTAATTTAAAAATATAGCTTGCATATTAATTAGCTCAACAAATATTTATTGATGCCTACTATGTGCTAAGCACCATTTAAGCATGGAGAATATAACCGGGGGGGGGGGGGGGGGGTGAGGAGACACAAAATCCTTGCCAGCAGGGAGCTTACATTCTATGAATTCGCTTACTTGTGGCAGGCACTGTGCTAAACACACTGCAAACATTAAGTTTCTTTGGCCCCGAATCACATAGGTGGTTTATGACAGGACTAGAAACCAAGCCACTTGATTCCAATGTTACTGCAACTTCCACTCAGTCACAGTTCGAAACTGGCGGTAAATCAAAGGGCATGTTCGCTGTCCTTATAAAGCTTACATTCCAAACTGAATGGCCAGTGGAACACTTCAAAGGGATGGAGCAAGGAGCAAAACAGGGGGCCACGGAAGGAGGCAGGACTGGGAAGTTTTTGTCAAACAAGAAACTTAGGCTTAAGGTTTTCAATTTTTTTTTTTTTTTAGGTTTTCCATTTTTCCTTCATTTGGATATTAGATTAAAAAACAAACAGGAATTATGCCCTAGCTGGTTTGGCTCAGTGGAGAAAGCCTTGGCCTGTGGACTAAAGGGTCTCAGGTTCGATTCCGGTCAAAGGCACATGCCTGGGTTGCAGGCTCCATCCCCAGTGAGGGGTGTACAGGAGGCAGCCAATCAATGATTCTCTCTCATCACTGATGTTTCTATCTCTCTCTCCCTCTCCCTTCCTCGCTGAAATCAATGAAAACAAAACAAAACAGGAATTAGTATTCTGGGGGAGAGACCAGCATTAAAAGTAGACTGAGTCCTGGCCAGTTTTCCTTAGTAATTAGAGCATCGGCCCACATATTAAAGGGTCTCGGGTTCGATTCCCAGAGCCAATCCATTTGTCTCTCTCACATAGATTTTTTTTTTTCTCTCTCTCTCTCTCCACTCCTCCTCCCTCCCTTCCACTCTGTCTGAAAATCAATGGAAAAAATATCCTCGGGTGAGGATTGTAAAAAAAAAAGTACATAGACTGAAGAAATTAGGACAGTGGTTACCTCTGATGAGGAACACCCAGGGAATCTGAATAAAACTGGCAGCATCCTAGCTCATATTGTTTCATGGTTACATACATTTTTATACATCTCAAATATTACATGGTAAATATGAACACAGGGAAATGATATGAAGGAAAGAGTTCAGGATGCGCAACCAAATGAAGAAGGAAAATTCAGAGTATCCATCAACAAAAAAGAGCCAGTGGCAATGAAGGTGATGTAAGGATATGACCTAAAGGCAAAGATAAAATACAGATATCCAAGCTAACAGCCTTTAACCGAGAAAGCGAATAGAATAATGGCCCTACTCTCCTCTTCACCTTCCTTCCACATCATATGCTAGATTCAGAGGTCACTGTGGGAGGCTGAGAGAGATAAAGGTTAGTTTACACGCCGGTTAAACCCCAGGAAAAAGCACCCGTGGGCTGCAGCTTGTCTGAACAGGGTACTTATTGGGTTCTGCAGGAGAGCAGCAGTCACTTTTCTGCACTCCAACCATTCTCCCACCTCAACTTTCATTTCTATATATATATATATATATATATATATATATATATATATATATATATATATATATTTTATTGATTTTTTTACAGAGAGGAAGGGAGAGAGATAGAGAGTTAGAAACATCGAGGAGAGAGAAACATCGATCAGCTGCCTCCTGCACTCCCCCTGGGGGCTGTGCCCGCAACCAAGGTACATGCCCTTGACCAGAATCGAACCTGGGACCCTTGAGTCCGCAGGCCGATGCTCTATCCACTGAGCCAAACCGGTTAGGGCTCAACTTTCATTTCTTAACAGGGATCTCTGTGGTCCACTATTTGAGTGTTTGAAGGGGAAAAAACAGGTCCAGCATTATCACTTCCACTTTGCACTAGCAGACAGCTGTGACCCAGTGTCCAGCCTTGTGTCTTCAAATGACAGGGTCTGCCTTGGGACAATAGTCAGGGGGTCGCCCTCCTCCCCAATGCCACGCACATTATCCCCGCACCGACATCTGTCGGCTGCACCGGCAACCAAAGCTGAGCCTTAAACATTCTGAGCCAGCGAGGGAGTTGTACTTCACAGCCCTGTCACCACTGCAACTAGTAACATCTAATTCCTTGCCTTAAAGCAAACCCTCCCTCGGGTTCCACTGAGAGGGCTGCACGGAAATGGTTTGCATGACTCTGGGCAACCTGTTTCCAAATACATAACTTGCTTCCTCTCCCCGCACCCCGCACCCCGCAACCCCTTCGAGCTCCCCGGCAGTTATTCAAAGACCCCGAGGGCCACCCAACTCAGATTAACCCAACTCTCCATCTGCCCTGCGCGCTGGACGGGGTGGAGGAAGCGGAAGGGCAGAGGCTATAGCCCAGCGGAACCAGCGGTCCAGGCCTGGGTTGGAGGCCCCTTCCCGGCCCTTGAGAGGGGTCGTGGGTGGGGGTCTTGCCTGCGAGCACGCGGGAAGTCGGAGCCCGCTAGGCTGACGGGCGGGGGCGGGCCCAGCCAGGCCACCTCACCTGCATGCGTGTGGGCCCACAGGACTAAGGGCAGCAACAGCCCCAGCGCGACCCCCAGCGCCACCATGATTGCTAAGTTCCGTCTCCCCGCGCGGGTCACGCAGCCCCGGGTCAGGCGGGGGCGGGGGCGGGGTCTGTGACGGGCGGGGCCTGGAGTGGGCGGGGCCGTGGGCGGGGCCACATGACCCCACCCTTCCAGGCCGTGCCGTCCGCGAAGCCGTCTGCTGCCGTCCGCGAGGGCGCCCCTTGTCCCTTCTCGGCCGCCGTAGTGGAGTGAAAAAAACAAAAAACGGTTCCTCAGCAACGAGAACAAACAACTGGAACCATCGGCACCAGCTCTGAGAGAAGCCAGAGGTGAGGCGGTTTACCCCACTTCTTCTCCAAAACCGAGACCTCGCCCTTTCCCTTCGCCTCCCGAATTCTCTCCGGATCCCCGACACATTCCGGGAGCCGGGGCCGGTGGGAGGCCGGCCGCCGTGGTGAAGTCCCAGGTCCTCGACGTGCGGCCTCCGCTCCCCAGATCGGCTCAGGGGCACTCAGATCGGGGCAGGGCCTCCCCGGTCCGTGTCACAACCTCAGAGGATTCCATACCGCACCTCCTGGTCCTTCGGGAAGGGGGTTAAAGAAACCTCCACCGGTCGGGCCTCGTGAAACCGCCCCACGGAGACCCCGGCCCCGGCCTCGGCCCCACTCGGCGTTAACCGTCACAACAGGCCGGGCCCGAGGGGCTTTGCAGGCTCCGTCGCCCAGGCCGCGGCCGGACAGCTGCCCTCCATCCAGCCCTTGGGTTCCTAGACGGGAAGACAAGACCTGGTCGAGAGAAAACGAGAAAATAGAGGAATCCCAAAGCTTGGGCGGCTGGGATTGCAGAATCCTGCCCGCTCGCCCCTTCCAGGGAAAGACTCAGTGTGAAACGTGCTCGTTTAACAAATTAGAATAATTTCTAGGACCACGACCAGGGCTGACTTTTAAAAAAAAAAATTTTTTTTTAAGTTTAGACCCTAAACATTAGGGTCTTTTCGGCAATTTAAAGTGAAGTTTTAGCAACCATTCTCCGTAAATTCCTGTGAGATGGCAAACATTACTCTCACCTTTTAAAGAGGAAGAAAAGGTACTTAGTGTCATAGTGGAAAATCTGTGATTTTTTTTTGTAATAAAAAAGAATGAGCTATTAAATCTGCATTTGTAATATCCTAATGAATAATGATGCATTGTTAATGAATTCAAAACTCTTCAGAACAAATGGATGGACTTGGTTTGTGTTGGGGGAAATGCTGAAGGCCAGGAAGTTTGGTAGTCAGACATAATTTGTTGCCATAGTTGTGATGACATAAGTATAATCAGATTTAAAGACAGTAAGCACTCTTTGGTGAATCTCTAGGTACAATAGGCAGCTCCATCCAAGAAGATGTCGATTCCATTCTCCAACACCCACTACCGAATTCCACAAGGATTTGGGAATCTTCTTGAAGGGCTGACACGTGAGATTCTGAGGCAGCAACCGGAAAATATACCATCTTTTGCAGCAGCATATTTTGAGGATCTTCTAGAGAAGAGAGAGAGTAAGCTTTAAAAAAAAATATATAGGCATTTAAAAAAAAAGAAGAGAGAGAGAGACTTAAGTACTTGTTTATGGTGAAACTTGCATAAGACCATCCCTATTCCCCAGAAAGCCTGTATGAGGCAGGTGGCTTCAGTTGTTGGTGTTTGAAACAACATCCCTGCCTTTGTGGCAGGTTCTCTCGAATCACATTATTTCACATTATTGAAGATGACCAGTTGGTTGCCCAGACCTTCCTGGTTGTATTTCTCGTGCACACACTGGGTGGACGGTGACCCCACAAGGTCATCTAGGATAGTTCTCCGTTTCCCAGCAGGCCGTTCCCGTACACCCAAGGCAGTTGGGTGGAGAGTTTGTGGTTTTCTTTACATTTTTTCTTTTTACTTGAAGGTGTTATAAGTATGGTAAAAAAATAATAATAATAATCCTACATGCCTTATATTACATAAATTGGTATTTGCTGAGGGATATGAAACTGCCCTACAATAAAGGCACAGAGAAAAAGTGCTTTGAAAAGTGAACTTCCATCTTGGGAAGATAATTTATATGCTTTTTCTAGTCTCGCAAGGTTCCATCCCGCTCAGAGACTAAGATCCAGGCTAACCCTGACTCTTTAGTTGAGAGCCAAAGCAATTTCTTCACTTTCATAAATAAAATTTCCAGATTCCTCGCCTTGAAGGTTCATGACTATCAAGACCCTACCTAATGGTCTTAATGGGGGTTATTACAGCTATGAATGTCTATTTAAAACATATAACTAGAGCCACCGTTTTTAATGTAAGCAGTTATCATTACTTTTGATTACAGTATTCCAACAGAGCGGTAAAGGTGCCTAGAGAAACAGCAAACAAATAAACATTCAATTTTAAATCTTTTTAGAAGGAGGAAACACAAGGCTTGCATTGAAACAACTCCCATACACACTGCATAGCTCTCCACCCCCGTCTTCCTTGCTGTACCCTGGCAGAGCTCAACATCTCTGCCAGTTTCCTGAATGTTGCTCATCTTTTCCATATCCAGTCACTGAATATTGGTTGCACAATCTGAAACTTAAGTGCCACTTAAAAGCTATTGAGAGAAATCCTTTAGGGTAACAAACATTAATTTTGTTGTTATAACTTTATTTTATAAATTAATGTGTAAAATGTCTTTAGTCATTTATTTAAATTTAGACCTTAAAAACATGCTATTACAAAACATTTGAGTCATTGTTACTGGATCATAATTAAAGCAATTGGTGATTCAGAGTAATGGCCTCAGAATACTAACTCGAATAAAAATGGGTGAGACTATTTGAAAAATTTGAAAAAGTTTTAAGCATCATACCCATTTTCACTCATGTAACCAAAGCTGAGTTTTCTACCTGACACAAGTATTAGGATTTAGTCTCTCCAAGTGGGCCGAATGAAGTCCTCTAGGCCAGTCTCTCACACAATGCAAGAATTTCCTTACCAGCATTCCTCATAGGTAATTACTAGTCTTAATTTTTATTTTTGTGACAGGAAGCATGTTAGTAAATTAAATAAGTGGCATCTTAAAATCACTAGACAAAAGGGGGGCTTTTATTAAATGATATAGTAAAGATGGAAAAAGATAAAGTTTGATCTGTTCCTTACATGATACACCAGGATAAGTTCCAAATTGATCAAACATTTAAATATTTTAAAAAATGAGACCTGCCGAAACCGGTTTGGCTCAGTGGATAGAGCATCGGCCTGCGGACTGAAAGGTCCCAGGTTCGATTCCGGTCAAGGGCATGTACCTGGGTTGCGGGCACATCCCCAGTTGGAGATGTGCAGGAGGCAGCTAATCGATGTTTCTCTCTCATCGATGTTTCTGACTCTCTATCTCTCTCCTTTTCTCTCTGTAAAAAATCAATAAAATATATTTAAAAAAATAAAAAATAAAAAATGAAACCTATAAATACTAGAAAAAATGGATAACTTTTCTCTATAACATAAAATGGGGAGGGGGGGGCTGCAAGCCAAGTTGCTATAATTACTTTAAAAATCCAAGAGCAATTAGGGAAAAGATGGAGATAAAATTGACAATATTACATGACAAAAATTGCCATAAGGAAAATAAAACTACAATGACAAACTGAGAAAAAAATGTTTGCAATTTATATCTCAACTGGTTAATCACCCTAATAAATAAACAGCTTGTAAAAACAGTGAGAAAAAAAGCCCAACAAGGCTATATAACAAAATGGGCAAGTGATATGAGTTTACACAAAAATAAATGCAAATGGCCCTGGCCAGATTGGTTCTGTTGAGTATCATCCCATGGCACCAAGAGGCCGCTGGTTCGATTCCCATTCCAGTCACATGCCAGTAGGGGGCATGCAGAAGACAGCCAATGGATGTTACTCTCTGCATCTCCCCCTCTCTCTCAAATCTATTTAAAAAATATTTTAAAAAATAAGTGCAAATGGCCCTTAACATATTAAAATCTACTTAAATTAACCCATAATAATAGAGGCCCATATCAAAACTACACTGAGTCACCACCACCCCACCACCACTACCAACCCTACTCATCAGATTGGCAAAAAGCCAAAAGTTTGCCAATTCTAGTTTGATACAATCCCAAGGAGGGGAAATGGCAATGACCCAGAAATTCCACTACTTCACTTTTCATTCCATTGTTATTTGAGGAAGCAACCTAAATACCCATAATAGGCATTTATTGAGTAAACTAGAGTACATCTACACAATAGAATAATGTACAGCTTAAAAAAACAATGAGGAAGATCTCTATATGATGCTATGGAGTGATCTTCAAGATATATTAAGTGCAAAAAGTAAGGTGGAAAAAGCATGTGTAGTATGCCATTTTCTAATAAAGGAGTGTTGATATGAATACATAGCTGTTATTTATATTTTAAATCTTTTTAAATGACATTTACCTCTAGAGAGAGAAGGAACAGAATAGAGGGAACAAGATAGAAGCTAGATTTCTCTGAGTATATCTTGAGTTTGAAATCATAAATGTTAACATAGTTATAAAATAGAATAAAATTTAAAAATTGTTAATTTCTAAAATTTAGAAGTAAAGTGCAACAGACAAACCTAGCTCGTATTGAATGGGTAGCATAACCACACAGAAACAGATTATTTCAAGTGACTTTATGACACAATAATTTGTACATCCCTGATGGTTATAGCCTTAAAACAAAATGAATTTTAACATAGCTTAAATTATTTTTAGTAATTCTTGTTAATATTATAACACAGTTATCTTATAATTATTTTTTACAATTGTAGGACATAGCAAATTAGTAACTATCCTACTGTAATTAGGAATAAGATTTTTAACGTAAGAAGAATGATTTACAAATATAAAGTTGATAAGATCCTGTAATCTTAAATTTGAACTGAAATTTTAAAATATAAAAATAAAGTTATCTATAATAATAAAAGCATAATATCCTAATTAGACCAGACATCTTTCCAGGTGACCTTCCGGACAAAGCCGGGGCTTCGAGGGCCAAGGCAGCCACCTCCTTTGCCTCAGGCTGAGCCCCTTGCACAAATTTCGTGCATCAGACCTCTAGTATAAATATA